TCATCAATATTTTATTTTTTTATAGTTATTTTTGGTATAGGGGGTTGAACCTACATGTCAGGTGCTTTACCACTGAGCTACATCCCCAGCACCCCCCGTCCTCCCCACCTACCTTTTTTTCTGAAAAAAGTCTTGTTAAGTTACTGAGGGTCTTACTAAATTGCTAAAACTGGCCTTAAACCTCATGACTCTCTGCCTTCATCTCCTGAGTTGCTGAAATTATAGCTGTGTGCCACCACACTCAGCTTGATAGTATTTTTTTTTAGATGTGTGGACCTTTATTTTATTCATTTATTTGTATGTGGTGCTGAGAATCTAACTTAGTGCCTCACACATGCTAGGCAATCATTCTACCACTGAGCCACAGCCTCAGCCCCGAGCCTGATAGTATTTTAAAAGTTAATTTTAATTTCTGATTTGCAGATCTTTAAAGCCTATAGAAGACTGATTATTCCTTTTTTTTGCTTCTTAGAATAACATTCTCCTGCTTTAAACCACAATACTTTTGTCACATTTAAGACAACAGTGACTCCTTATTATTTAATATCCATTCCCTGTTCAGTTTCATCATGTATCTGAGATGTCTTACATTTATTTTTATTTTGTCAAAGTTCAATCGTTGTTTTGGCTCTGTCTCTGTAGACTCTTTTATGTAGGATTTTGTACCTTGCTGTTTTTTATAGCAGGACTTCTCCAACTTGAGCATGCACTTAATTGACCTGGGAAGGCTTCTTTAAATGCAGATTCTGATCCAATAGGTCTGAGATGGGGAGTTCTGTATTTTTAGCCTGCTCCTCAGATTCCCCTAGTCCTAGAAAATTTCACTATCAAGGATCTAAAGTTTTTATCTCCCTCCCAATAAGGATTTTGTCCCCAAATTTATTTTGACTAGTTTAAAGAAAAGTCAGAAGAATGATACAATGAATACCCGTCTACCTTTTCTTTGCATTCACTAGTTACTGCCATGTATCACTTTCATAGTACATGTAATCCCCCCCCCTTTTTGGCACATGCTTTTTTTTTTTTTTTTTTTTTGTTTAAAGAGAGAGAGAGAATTTTAATATTTATTTTTTAGTTTTCGGCGGACACAACATCTTTGTATGTGGTGCTGAGGATCGAACCCGGGCCGCACGCATGCCAGGCGAGCGCGCTACCACTTGAGCCACATCCCCAGCCCTGGCACATGCTTTTAAATAGTGTTTTGCAGACGTGTAGATTCACAACCCTAACATGTATAGCCTAAGAGTAAGATATTTTTCTTCATAACTATAATACTATCATCATATCTAAGACTATAATTTACCTAAGATGTAAACTATGTTCAGGTTCCCCACTTGTCCCCAAAAGTCTCTATTGTTTTTCCTTTCTGGGGTCCAATTATGATTTGGTCTCCCCAGTATATTTTGGTCCAGATAGTATGAGCATTATTGCATTTCCTATAACACTTTTGAACTAATGTTCTGTAACTTGCTAACCTTACCTCATGAAGATAAGATGCATTATAGTAACCTAACCCAGCTCTCACAGTACCTGGATACTTCCAGGCGCCCTCTGGTGGCTGGTACTAGTATTTCAACTGCAAGCTGAGGAAGTTACAGCCAGGCTTTGTGTGGTTATTAAAGTGAACTCTTGCAGGCCCCTCATAGTGGTTTGCTTTGTTTACAGGTGTGAAGCTTACACTGTCGGCTCTGGTAGATGGGAAGAGCATTAATGCTGGAGGCCACAAACTTGGGCTTGCTCTGGAATTGGAGGCTTAATCCAGCTAAAAGAAACCTCTGGGAATGGATATCAGATTTGGCCTTAATATATTTCCATTGTGACCAGCAGGCATTTTTCCCCCCAAGAAGGTGATCAAAACAAGGATGATCTGAACAAGAGCTGTATTTTAAATATTTAGACAGTTACTTGTTAGCTGGTTTCTAGTTGAATTGGTTATCTAGTTACCAATGCTGCAGTCATGCAGTCACCTATACATTATTTAAATGTATTTAACTGTTAAATGCGCTACCCACCAATAATGAAATAGACCTTTATGAAAACTGTGCAATTGTGTGCATGTTTGTTTTTATGTTCCCTTTAACATCGAATATTGCCATAGAATAAGATGGATCAGTGGATGTTTTAAGATGAGGGTAAAGATTTTTTTGTTAAATTCAACCATAATTAGAATTACTTTTGGTATCCCAAAACATTACAAATTATGAATAAAACAAGTATACATAATTAATGGCTCCAAGTATTTGCAGTTAAAAATTTGCCAGCTAGGGTCAAATCTCCCTGATATTTAGCTGATTCTTTATTTTTCTGGTGAGCATTTTGCTCTTAATTCTGTGCCACAAGTCCTGTCTCTCTAGAATTCCAGGAGCTTTTTGAGACTACAATAAAATAAGAGGATATACCCAGTTATACTCTTCAGTTTCTAAGTTTGTACAGAATTACACTGATTCATTGTTAACCTCAGGAATGGTGGGAGAAAGTGATGAGAATAGGACAATGTAGGGATCATGCTGGAAGATTATATATGCACACCAGTGCCCCTGTGAGCTATTGTTTGGGCTTGCCCTGGAATTGGAAGCTTAATTCACCTGAAAGAAACCCCTGGGAATCAGAAGATTTGACCTCAGTATATTTCTGTTGTGACCTGCAGGCTTTTTCCCCACAAGAAGGTGATCAAGGATGATCTAAACAAGAATTGTATTTTAAATCTTCAGTTACTTGTTAGTTGGTTTCTAGTGAAACTGGTTATCTGGTGACCAGTGGTGTACCCCTAAATCAGTGGGATGGGAGGTAAAATGTAGACAGCATTGATAACCATAGGGTCTGAGAGGGGAAATATGGGTCCTAGTGGGAAGTCATCACATCACTCTTTTCCATCCAGGCCGACATTGACTGGAAAGCTGTGTTAACCTGTGAGATCAACGGCAATCCTCTTGGCCTTCATCTGGGCATGAATGATTGATGTTAATGGGTGATTCTGGTTGGAAAAGTCTAAAGAACAAGTTTTGTGATAGGAGGTGCTAGTTTGAAGGATAAAGTCAAAGAGAAGGGGAAATTTGTTGAACACATCTGAAGTACAAAACCTAAAGCTCAGTTTGCAGCTTGAGAGAACAGATTAAGACAATGGAGTACTTTGGGACTCATCATTCAAGAAATGATAACATGCTAAAAACTTCCAGGTTGAAAAGAATCTGATGAGAATAGAATTCAAGCAAGCTCTCCATACAGAGACTAAGGGACAAGAGGCCTTTTTTGGTCTGTTATGGTTTAGATATGAGGTGTCCCCCAGAAGCTCGTATGTGAGACAATGCAGGAAAGTTTAGATGTGAAATGATTGGGTTATGAAAGGTTTAACCAATTCAGTGAATCCCATGCTAGGCATTGACTAGTAACTTGATAGCCAGTAGGGTATAGCTGGAGAAGGTGGGGCATGCCTTTGGGGCTTATATTTTGTTGTGGTGAGGAGTGCTGTCTCTGCTTCCTAGTGTGATGTTCCCAGATGTTTTCCTTTCCTACACACTTCGGCCATGATGTTTTGCCTCACTTCAGACCCCAAAGAATGGAGTCAGCCATCTATGACTTAAGACCTCTGAAACTGTGAACCCCCAAATAAACTTTTTCTCCTCCAATTGTGCTTGTCAGGTCTTTTGGTCACAACAGTGAAAAAGCTGATAAAATAGGTCGCACTTGTTTTTCCTAAGGAATTCAACGTAGTGGCCCATGTAAATAGGGATGGATTCTCCAAAAGGCTGTCTCCCCAGACACATGCTGCCTCCTATGGGCATGGGAGCAGGTTGGAGGTTGCAATTTGAGTTAGACCTATTGCTAGATAAGAAAATGAAAAGGTGTCCCTACATGCTAGGTATGAAAACAACACTTGTACTTGGGGTGTAGGCTAGACCTGCAGGGAGGAAATCTGGTCTTCTAAATGACCTTTTGCTCCTCAGCTAATCATTGTGCTTTCTGCTGCAGTTGAAGTTCATCTGATTCAGTAATCTGGACTGTAGTGCACACAGGTTTGAGTTACTCGGTCACCTGTGTGCATCCTAATAAGCTTTTATGAGTTAGAGAGAATAGGGTAGTTGTAATATCTAGGACCCTAAGGATTGTGGAGAATGCCAGGTAAATCCTTGGAGCAGCAAGATTATGAAAATCTGCAGTTACAGGTTCATGCATCTCCTATGACTTCTAGTAGTCTTCAGGTGCAATTCCACCACCAGGTCTTAACAGGTGGCAGCAAAGCCTATTGTAAGTGCCCTTTTGCCTGAGGCCTTGAAGTTATTGGAAAGAACCTGACTTTCATTTGTCTTAGAGACAAGATCTTCCTGTGGGTTGGGGATATTTGAATGAAGCAAAGAATCTGGCTTGAAGGTCCCTTAAGCCTAACTGCCTTTTCCTCTCCTTTAAACCAGCATGCTGGAAAACCTAAAGTTCTCTTTGTCTAGGAAATGTGTTTAAAATTGTCATACTGAAGGTCTGCTACCGCCAGGCTTGTTGCTTCACATCTTGGATAGCAGTCCCCTCATCTTCAGGACGTAAGGGGGACATTAGGGTATATATTCAAGCCAAACTTGAGGTTCTCAGAGGTAAGGCAGGGGAGCTGATATTTCTCTGAAAATGTGGACAAATGGCTGACAGAACTAGCATAACTTATAGAAATACCTGTGGCAGTGCTGGTCCCCTGCAAGTCCTTTCACACTGACAGATCCCAGATGAGGTCTCCCCACCAGTCCCAGTTGCACTGTGCCAGGAATTTCACCTGTCCCTGATGGAGACATAGAAATGGGACCAAGAGGGGATGCACTTTGAATCCAGCCCTCAGACCCTGTTAGGGGGAGGCAAGCTTAAGTTGTTGGGGCCTCTGGCCGCTACATGTAGCCAATTAAAACTATACTGCAAGAAGTGAAGGGCTGAGACATCAAGGACCCCTTTCACTGAAGAGGCTACTTGTGCTGAAACTCTTCCCCACCCCCATTCAGTGCCAGATAGGGAGGAAACTCAGGAGGATTTAATTCCCAGCCCCACTTTATTACAGGATTTAAAACTGAAGTCTGGTTCCAGGTTCCCTCTCTGAGCTCACAGGCTAAAGGCCAGGCTTAGATCTTGAAGGCCAAGGTGAGGCCGTCGCCTAAGGGCAGGAGGCTGATGTAAACCCTGGCATCCCGCCGGATGCGCTCATTTAGGTTTCGCACACTCTCAGCAGCGGTGTCCCCTGGTTGAGGCTGTAGCACCTCTCCGTTCCAAAGTACCTGTGGAGGGGCGGAGCCAACCAGGCCGTGGAGGCGGGACCTCAGAGAGGTGCTGAGTAGCGGGGCAGGGCAAGAGCTGGAGACTCAGAACTCCAGTAGGGGAATGCCTACGGACCCAGCTGAGGGGAAAGAGGGGAGGAACCTGCAGTGTACCTGTGCTTTGGGCACAGGCAGGAGCCATGAGAAGTGGCAGCCTGGAGAGGGGATTTGCTTTTCACCCGGGTCTAGCCCTTACTCTAGGGATGGCGAGCATGCCTCCGGGGCGCAGCAGCTGCAGACATCGCTCATAGTAGGCTGTGCAGTTCTCTTTGTCCGCGTCCACCACGGCCATGTCGAAGGTGCTGGCCTCTCCTGCCGCCAGGAGCTCGTCTTGCAGGAAAGAGGGGCAGATGGCACCTGAGTCTCAGGTCCGGGTAGCCGGAAGTCCCTGCCCAAACCAGGCCAGGTGTTGTGATAGGCTGGGCCCGGCCACGCAGGGACACCGACCCTGTCCACCGCATGTGGCAAAATACCATGAGGCCTGGTGAAGGGAGGGGACGTCAGTACCCTCAGCCCGCTGGGCAGACCTGGCCACTAGCTTTCACTCGGTGGCTCTATTTCATAAATGGAAAGGCCTTTCCTGCTCCGGGACTCACCCAAGGTCTCCAGGGCTGGCTTCAGCCGAAGGTCGATTTTGTGATCCATCTCAGCCTGCGGAAGAAGCGAGGTCAGAGCCAGCATGCTCCCTCGCCCGGAACTGACCGGCTTCAGGTGTATGGGACACTCACCTTCCTCCACAGCGGCCGCCCCAGCTCCGGGGGCCCTGCGTCCACCTCGCAGGTCACCACACGCCCGGCGGGGGGCAGCGCCAGGGCCAGTGCCAGGGCAGAGTAGCCAGTGAAAGTGCCTGGGGATGTGGACAAGAACAAGCTCAGCCCAGGGTGGGGACAGCCCAGTGACGTCGGCCCCCAGTGATCTGGGCCTCGCACCCCTACCCAGGTCCAGCGCCTTCTTGGCCTTGATGAGTCGTGCCAGGTTGGCCAGAAGCTGCGCCTGTTCACAGGTCATCATGTAATCTCCATGCGGCTGCTCCAGAGTCAGCTGTGTTTGGGGAAAGAGTGACACCATGCCTGCCAGTCACCTGCCCTCGCCTCAGTTTCAGAGGCCCCGGGGACCGCGGGCTCAGCAGTGGGCGTGGGCCAGAGGGAAGGGGTGGGGTGTTCCCGGAAGCCCAGAAAGAGCCCCCGCCCAGCCCAAGGTCACAGAACCACGTGGGACCCACCAAGCCCGGGATGGATGCCCTTTCTCCTCCCGGGCCCTACTGACCAGCCGCAGGCTCCGTAGTGCTGGATGCTCCCGTATTGAGCGACTCAGCAGATACTGCCACAGGGGACTGTCTTCTGGGGGAAGCAGGTGTCGCTGTCGCCGAAATCTCCACGAGGGCCACCGTCTCCCTGCCAGAGAGAGGGAGGATCAGGGCTTGGGGCTCTGGGACACTGGTGGTCAACCTGAGCCGCGGCCTTCTGCGCGGAATCGCGGGCTTTGCTCCTCGCTTTCGCTCCGGGTGCGTCCGTCCGCCCGCCCGCCCGCCCGCCCGCTGGGCTCTGCAGCGGCTGCAGCAGCCCGACCCAGCTCACCCAGGAAGAGGCCAGTGGCGAAAGCGGCGCCCAGCGCGGCCGAGCCCAGGGCCAGCGTGGCGGGCAAAGAGAGCCGGGGTACAGGCTGGGTCATGGCGCGGGTGGGAGACAGCGGCAGATCACGTGCGCTGGAGCCACCAAGGCCAGACTCTGATGCGGGGCCGACTGGGCTCCACCTTGTTGCTGCCTTGTCCGCGGAACGTGGCCTCTGGCGCCATCTGGCGGCCACATAGCTTAACTACAAGCTCCGCTCAAGACGGGCCAGGTACCATCTGGTGGCCGTATGTGGAACTGCGCCGGGGCCGAGAGTAGGACTCGCATCTAGGGTCTAAAGTACCAGATTTGGTGGTCCAGACGCCTGGCTTCCAGAGCACAGATCTAACGTCTAATGCCCCTACTCGTTCAGCTTTTTTCTCGCCATCGCTTCTGTCGAGGCCGTAGGGCATATGTCGGTGTGTGTGTGTGTGTGTGTGTGTGTGGAGTGCAACTGTAACTAGAGTGTAACAAATACAAGTGATACAAATAAAGAAGCCCCAGAAAGAAACTGGACCTCCTGGTGGAGGTGTCCAAAGGAAGAAGTTAAAGGAAAGAAGGATCTGGTTAGGAAATATGGTGGCCGTGGCGTTGGGGGTGGGTGGCTAATGGAGTGCTGAGACAATACCCTTAGTGGTTGGAATCCTGTCCTTGGGTGCCACACATGAGTGTGTGAGCTTTGGCCTGTTAATCTCTGAGTCTGTTTCTGTAAAATGACAAACCACAATCTTACTGTAAAAGTCACCAGATTCCAAAGCTTGACACACAGTACGTGCTCAATAAATAGCAGCTGCTGTTTTGATTACTGGAGTAAAGATATTTTAGGGAGACGGTGACTGAATGGTAAGTGAGGTCCCTTGCTGGGTTGTTCTGCTGGAACGATATTCACTGACCATTGGTTGATGGATTGAAAACCTACTATAGGCCTAACTCTGGGGAAGGTGAAAGGCACAGTACTGGCTTGTATTTTTCTTCCTTTCTTTATTTCTTCCTTCCTTCCTTCCTTCCTTCTTATCTTTCTTTCTTTCTCTTTCTTCTTCTTCTTTTTATTATTATTTTTTGGTGTCCGGGATTGAACTCAGGGGAGCTCGACCACTGAGCCACATCCCCAGCCCTATTTTGTATTTTATTAGAGACAGGGTCTCACTCGCTTAGAGCCTCACCATAGCTGAGGCTGGCTTTGAACTTGCGATTCTCTGTCTGACCTTCCCGAATGCTGAGATTACTGGTGTGAGCCACAGTGCCTGGGCTGTATTTTTCTTTTTGAGTGCTGGAGAATTAATCCAGTGCCCTCCTCTCACACCTTAGGCAAGTGCTCTGTTGAGAGCCACATCCAGGTAGGGATGGCGCCTGGCATTTTGCCAGAAGGAGTGGTTGAGAAGTAAGCCAGCATATTCAGTTGTATATATAAACCTCTGCTGGCCGGCAGTGGGGCGGCTCCTGCTACCTCCAGTGCCCGCTACTTTTGAGTTCTCGCGGAGTTCCCCTTGAGTTCTCCCCGTTTTCGGAGGAGTTCTGGAGTGTTCCCTGGGGTTCTGGCAATAAATAGTTCCTGTTTGAACCTATAAGTGCCTTGTGGCAGCTCCCTTATTTTGTGCCCAGCCAGACTGCCGCAGTGCTCTACCAATGAACTAAATGCCCAGCATTTTTTAGCCTTTCTCTTTTTTTTTTCTGGAGACAGTTGCTTAGTTGCCTCACGGGCCTCAAACTTGGTGATCCTCCTGCCGCAGCCTCCCCAGGAGCTGGGATTGCAAGCATGCACCACCACGCATGGTTTATATTTTTAGTGACGCTGGTGTTGAGACAATAAGACTGGCAGAACGCTTCAGTATTTCCTTCTGTAAAGTGGACTTATTAATAGTCCCGACCTCTCAGGGAGTTCCATCAATGAGAAAACCCAACTGGCACTTAGCTTTAGATGTTATATTTAAAAGCGTCAAAGCCCGAAGGGAAGAGGGCCCTCTTGGAGCTGCTCTGCAGAAGTCCCTGGGGTGATTGTTTTTGGAGCTCACTGAAGACCAACACCTGACCAGGTATTGAGTTCCACCGGGGGCTAACGGATGGGTTGGGTGGTGGGGTCTGCGAGAGGGCAGCTTGGCTGGGGCGGAAGGTCAGAAACTTGCCCACCCGTTTGATCCGAATCTGATCCTGGGCCTAGCAGAGACTCGGGCTCACCCGCTGAAGGTTTGGGGTGGAGTCCTGGGAGCCGAGAGCCTGGCGTCCAATGAGAAACAGGGTGGGGCTGACTCTGACCAATCAACAGCTGCCCCCGAACTGGGCTGCGGGCCAGGGGAGGAGCTTGTTCTTCCCAGGGGCTGGTGGGCTTGCAGCAGCCCCAGACGCCTTCCCCAGCACCTCCAGCGACCAGCCTCCAGGCCTGTGGATCTGCTCCAGAAACAAACTCCTTGTTCTCTGCTTATTGGCCCTGGTTGACCCTGCCAATTAAAAAAAAAAATAAATTTATTATTATTTTTATTATTTTGGTACAGGAATTGAACCCAGAGTCCCTTTACTACTGAGCTCATCCCCCAGGACATTTTTATTTTTATATATTTATTTTTTTATACAGGGTCTCTCTAAATTGCCGAGGGACTCACTAAATTGCCTAGTCTGGCCTCCAATTACGATTCTCCTGCCTCAGCCTCCAGAGTCGCTGAGATTACAAGTGTGTGCCACCACGCCCAGCTGGTTCCTTTGACCTTACTGCGAATCCCATTACCCAGGTGAGGACTGCGGCTTCCGTTCACTGTTTGCCTCAGGCCTGAGCACAGGGAAGGCGCTAAATAGATGCTGTCTGAATAGCAACCTGATGGTGCTCCCTGCTCCTTGTTGCCAGAGCTGACAGCAGTTAAAATAGCAGTAGGGACTCTTTTCTGAGCGCCTGCTGGATCCTGGGCACAATTCACCCTCATCTTGTGGGGCAGGGGTATCATTCCCATTTTCTGGAGAAGGAATGGAGACTTAAAGCTCGGCCCTTCTTTAAGTCATGCCCAGGTTCTCTCTTGCTTTCTAAACTCGGGCCCAATGCATATCCAGCTCCTCTGGCCCTGGGACCCAGTGGGAATAGGCTTCTCTGGCACCTCTGGTGCTCTTCCACCTGGCGAGCTGGCACGGGGCCTGGGCTCAGCTGGGGCCTTCTCTACCCTGTCTGGGGGTCTGGGTGGCTTGCAGGCTCCCAGCTCACACCAGAACCTTCCTCCCCGAGCCTGGCTTCAGGCCGGAGCTGTGGAGGTGGGGGGAACAGGAGGGGAGGGGAGGCATGTCACCATATATCCCCGTCAGATTAAAAAACTAATTTGAAAAGATTAATGTATTCCATTCTTGTTACGCTGGCTCTGATACCTCTGGGCCTGCGGCCGCTCTGCCTCCTGATTATTGAATTTTTATGGCCTGGTAATTAATTGCAGATTCCCTGTTTTGTTCTATTTCTTTTTCTCTGACATTTTAATTTCAACAAAAAGCAGTGGTCTCCATGCAGGTTCTCTCTGGAGATCCTAATGGTCTATAAAACAGAATGACTTATAGACGTGGCACCCACTTCAGTTGGCGAGCGATTGTTTGAAACCTTGCTGATCACGCAAAATTTAATTTTTCCACCTCCCTCCCCCCTTTACTCCTCATTTCTTGTCTTTTCCGTTGCTGCGCCAGCCTCTCAGCTCACGATGAAGTCAAAGTGTCGCTTCTGGATCTGTTACAGGGCCTTTTCCTAGGAGGCTGGGGCAGAGGATAAAGTGGGGTTTGATGCTTCCCCTGGGCAGGCAGTGATCCTGGTGGTGTGGAGGGGAGATGGGCTTTCCCACAGGGCCATGTGGAGAGGGAGCAGCCTTGCCACATATCTCACTTGCCCTTTTGGCTAAAGGCTGCTGCCCCATGAGGTACCTAGGAACTGGCAGGCTCCCCAGGGCAGAGAAAATGGGTTTTGATACGCGCCCATATGCTCCCACCAAGCAGTGGAGAAGACCCAGGAGACTGATGCAGATAGATTCAGAGAGACATTCAGATATTCTTAGCCAAACTAGGTCAAAGGGAACAGCTGTCCACAAAGACAGGTCTGAAGGAGACCCCTGTATTTCTAGCCTAATGCCCCCAAGTTCTTCCACCTTGCTAACATCAGGCTGGGTCCCCTGCTTTAGGGCCTCGCAGGACTGGGCAGGGCAGGGACAGAAGGGAAAGGTTACAGAATCAAATTGGGCCTCCAGGATTGTAACTCAGATGTCCCCAGAGCCAGGCAGGTGAGGCAAGTGAGGGCGGGTGAATGGGGCTGTGGGGACCGCTGCTCCGGAGCTCGGGTACCATCAGAAGGTGCTACAGCCACTTAATTTCACCCCCTGGCCGACAAGTGGGAAGATGGGCCAGCTGTGGCCAGAGCTTCTGCTTCTTCAAGAGGGGTTAGAAGTCTGGTGTTTGGTGTAAAACCTCACACTTTTCAAACGTTGGGAGACTTTCAGATTTTTTAAAACACCATGACAGTCAAATAGTATCCCACTTTGACAGATGTGTCTGTCCTGGCTCATAGGGCACCAGTTTCCTCTCAGTGGAGTATGGAGCAGAGAAGTTAGGACATGAAGAGGAGGTCCTCAGTGCCCGCTGGCCATCCCCGTTCTGCCCCAGGAACTCTCTTCCTCCCTTTGGGCCCTCCAGGCTCCTCTCCACATGCAGCGAGCTTTGCCCACCACCTCGGGCTGCTCTCCAGGGCTTGGTTTTAGGTCTCATCACAGAGAAGTTTTCAGCCTAAAGTCTCATCACATCTGGGTGACTTCTGCCACGCTCCACAGAGATAATGGCACCTTTTAACCTAAGACTTTAAGGGATCCAGGGATTCCTGGGACCAAATTGCCAATTCAAGCAAGAGGGGATAGACGATGGTTCAGAGGCTTCCAGGGGAGGATGGGAGCCCATAGCCTGGTCCCACCTCTCTGTGCTTAGATACTGAGGAGTGGACACTGACAATTCCTCTTGTGCCTCAGTTTCCTCATTTGGAGAATCCAAAGGGGAAAACAAGAGCGTGGACTGTGGAGGCAGGTGAACTTGGGTTTAAACATTGGTTTCACCGATCACTTTGTTCTGAGTGAGCTCAGAGTGTCTCAACCAAATAATTAATGGGGATTGTTAGGGTGTGGATCTTAAATGTCTCCAAAGGCCCATGTGTTGAAGACTTGGGTACCTGATCTGTGGTGCTTTTAGGAGATGGTGGCACTTTAAGAGGAGGGGCCTAATGGAAGGCTGTTAGGTCATTGGGGCGGGGCCTTGGGGGGGATATAGGGAATTCAGCCCTTTCTCTCTTTGCTTCCCAGCTCTGCCAACATGCTTCTGCTGCCATGATGTACTTTACCACCACAGGTGCAAAGCAACTGGGCCAAGTGACCATGGACTAAAACCTCTGAGACTATGACCCAAAATAAATAAATAAATCCTAACTCTCACTTTTTTTTTTTTTTTTTTTGAGACCAGGTCTTGGAAAGTTGCTGCTGATCCTCCCAAGAGGTGGAAACCCAAACTCCTGATCTTCCTGTCTTAGCATCCTGAGTAGCTGGGATTAGAGGTGTGTGCCACCAGGCCCAGTTCCTCCTTTTCAGTTAATTTTTCTCCGGTATTTTGTCATGGTGATGGAAATCTCACTAACCCAGGGGTGGTACTTCTGACTTAGTGGTTTAATTGTTTTTATTTTGTGGTGCTGGGGGTTGAACCCAGGGCCTTGCCCATGCTCGGCAAGTGCTCTACCACTAAGTCACACCCCAGCCCTGCATAATGAATCACCACAAACCTAATACTTTAAAACAACACCCATGTGTTCTCTCACACTTGTGAAGGCCAGAATTGTGGCCAGGCTGGATTCTCTGCTTAGGCATTCTCCAGGTTCAAGTCAAGGCATTGGCGGGGGCTCAAGTCTTCTAAGCTCACCGGCTCTGGACAGAGTTCTGTGCCTTCTCATGAAACCCCTCCATCTTCAAGATCAGCAAAGGCACCTTGAATTTTTTGGGTGCCTCAAATTACTCTACTTTCCTCTTTGGCTTTTAAGGGTTCGTGTGGTTACCTTGGGCCTAGCGGGATAACCTCTCTATTTGCAGGTGATTGTTTAGTAACCTTAGTTACATCTGCAAAGTGCCCTTGGCATGTAAGTTACCAACCAAGGAGTAATGCCGATGTCGGAGAGCATAGGGCCAGACTGTTGCTGGCACAGCCTCCTGGAAGGTTACAAGGTTTAAAATGCCCCTACCTGGTCCCCCTCCCCCATCCTGAGACCATGGCATTGGATACTTAAACACCTGATTCCAGGCTTCTGCACTCAGGGGCTTGGTGGGGATGATCCTCACAGCAGTTCTTTCAAGGAGCTACTATCGTGTTCCTTTTCCAGAAGTGCAAACTGGAATTTCACATACCAGAAAATATCAGCAACAGAGCTAAGGTGTGATCATTTTTTATTTTGAGTAAAGGACTTGCTAAGTTACTTAGGCCTCCCTGAGTTGCTGAGGCTGGCCTTAAACTCAGTGATCTTCCTGCCTCAGCCTCATGGGTCACCAGGGGATTACAGGTGTGTGCCCCCACATCTAGTAATTTCTTTCTCTTGGGAGGACCACCATGGAATCAGAATTTTACATGGGATGCAATTTTGCTGACTGAATTTCAGGCCTGGTGCTCAGGTATTCTGGGGAGTCCCCACCAGGTGAGTACGTGGTCTTTCCTGTTTCTCTTTTTTGGACTGGGTATGGTGGCCAGGACTGCCATGTCACAGCCACTCCTGTGTCTCATTCCTTCTGCTGGATGCTTTGGCTGATCCAGTAGTCGAGACCTCATGGAATTCTTTTAAGAATTGGTGAGGTTTCCCTGTAGCTCTTCTCTCTCCACGTTGAGCTCCTGGTCTATGCAATGAATCTCCCCTTCCCCCATAGAAGATGAACGCTACCCAGACTCCCTTGCAGGCACATGACCTGACTTCTGCCAATCAGATGCATGAGAGAGATTGATGCTCTGGCACCCGTGTGGTGTGGTGTGGCGGGCCTCCTCCCAGGGCTGGTGGTGGTTGCTGTATATTAGTTAGAACAGTCCTGTGGTGTCCCTGGGTGGGGTTCCTCCCAGAGCCTGCTGTTTGCGGCAGAGTAGAATTAGCTATTTGCCACACAGTGAATTCTGGTGTTTGCCATAAAGTGGAATCTGCTGTTTGCCACAAGGGGGCTTCTGTGGTTTATAATGAAGAGCCCTGCCTGGCGCACCGTCCTCTGTGAGACTCGGATTCCTGGACTTCTAGCCAACAACATTAAAGTCTACCTTAGAGCCTGCCCTTCTTCTGCCTTGACAACAACGGAAGCCTCATAATGTTCAGGCAACAACATGCCCAAATCTGGGGGATAAACTGTGATTAGCTGCAGGCTGTCATAACCATCCCTGTCTTTTTCCCAAGATATCTGCATTCTTACTGTACCATGCGTTAGGTTGGCCATGTGGCTCATTTCTGGCCATAGATAAAGGGGTGCTTCCCAGGACACTTTCCTTTCCGATAACAAGAAACTCTTTTACCCTCTTTATTCCCTTCTTACCTTGAATGAGGTTGTGTAAAAGTGAAATGTTTAGAGCCACAGCAGCCATTTTGTGGCCATGAGGCAACGAGACTAAGGATAAAAAAACCAAAAAGTGAGGGTGGTGAGAAGAAGGATGGAGTGTTGGTCCTTGTAGATATCGTTGAGCCCTGAATCAACATTATCGCCCTCCAGCTCCTTGTTATATGAGAAGATGGAGACCTTTGTGTTTAAGCAGCAATTAACTATTATTATTATTTTCTATTTTTTAGTTGAAGCTCAAAACTGTATGAACTGATACAGACTGCCAAACACAGGAGCAGTTTGGTGTTGGTGTAGGGTAACCCTGTTCACCTTTCCTTTAGGCTAGAGTGACAGGTTCCCCTCTGCACTTGGAGCTGTGGCCTCTGGGGAGCAGGGGTGGAGGTAGCTCCTTCCCTTCAGGTGTGAGGATTTTTCATTGAAGATGCCCCATCCCACATGCCTAGACTCATGCGGAGCTCAGTCCTTCCCCCACCTAAGGAGTCCAAATGCCAGTGCTGGGCACCCCACCCTCACCCTGCTGCAGACCAGACCCTTTCTGATCCCCTTTGAGCTGGGTGCAACCCCCACGTCCCCCAGGTGAGGATCAGATAGGAGAAGTGACGCACCCAAGTCTCACAGCCAGGATGGGTGACCGGCTGCAGCTCTCTGGGACCTGGAGTGGGGGATCCCCGTTTCAGGGAGAGTCCCTCTGTCTGCCTCGGGGCCAGGGGCACAGGAGCTTCTGGGACAGTGGATGACCAGACGGGGTGGGCGCTTCTGTGCAGTGAGCTGGGAACGGGGCTGGGGCAGCTGGTGTCCTCTGGGCACATCAGTCGCGGTTCTGCGGCAGCGAGGAGTGTAACGGCGGCAGATTGCAGTGGCTCCCATCACCATTTACTCTCTTGCTCCGAGTGCCGTGGGTCAGCCGGGGTGGCTCTGCTGGAGCTGTGGGTCCAGATCTTTCTGCAACCATTGGCCACCTGGGATGCTCTTTCTCAGTGGACGGCACAGGTGCCAAGAGGCCAGCCAGCAGCCCCTGCCCGTCAGCCTGCTGAGGTTCCATGCACGGAGGTGGGAGGTCGGTATGTGTAGACCACCCCCGCCGCGGGGAGGCCTGCAGGGCCACGAGGCAAAGACGTGGGGAGAGTAAAGAGTCAGGACCAAGTACCCTCTGTCCCTGTCAGGTGGGACCTCAGGAGGGCTGGCGGGAGACTTGCCTCCCACCAACACTGGGTGGCAACGAAGAAGCACAAATCTTCCCAATTTGATTCTTAGAGGAAGAGCCTGAAGTTCAGGTAGTCAGACTATGGCCACAGGCTGCAGGACAGACCTCCTGTCCCTTCACCCCACTGCCACCCTGAGCCCAGGCAAGGAAGGGCTCACCTCCCGCCTCCCAGGGAAGGACGAACCCCAGCTCCCTCAGTGGCACCTCCTGTCCCCCTTTCCTCCGGGTCACCCCCACACTCAGCATGTACCCATCTTCCCCAGGGAGGCCCCAGCCCTGCACCAAAGGGTTCCGACTCCCCTGCACGGAGACCTCTCAGCTCTTGTTCACATCTGGCAGGCCCCTAGCTGGCCTGGGGACATGTGCTGTTTGCCTTGCTCCGTGTTTTGTTTTAATGGAGCCAGCTCTAAACTAGCAGAAGATGGCACAAAGACTTCAGATGGACTTCCATTCTGCAAAAGTAGAAGATTTGCCCGTGGGGAGCCCGCTTTGCTCTACGGCAGGTTGGCTGGGGCTGCGTGGTACCCTCCCCTCTGGGATGGGTCAGGTTCCCTGGCCCTAGTCCCCACCACCCCCTATTGCCCAGAACCAACAAACTTCATTTGCCTCACTGGCCTCTTGGCTGCTGGAATCTCCAAGTTGATTCACTTCCCAGAGGCTCAGAGAGGAGCGATAGCTGCTCAGGATGCACAGCAAGTCAGGAGCCTTCATTTCTCTTGCTCTCTTCCTAACACCCTCACCTGGATCCCAGAGAGCAGTTCCTTGTTTAGACTCTGACCTGGGCGCCCAGTCTCTGCCTCCCACTGGCTTGGGGTATGGGGATCTTTTCCCCAGAGAAAGCTGTTCACATCCTGGTTGAAGCTCAGAATGCTCCCGACCTTTCTGCCCAAAAGCAGTCACCGCGAGGGAAAATCCAGACTAAGGGGAAACTATGGGAGACCCAGGGGTTGGTCAGGTTCCTGAGTTATACAGGGAATCCCACCAGGTATGTGGAAAGGAGATAATAGCAGCTAAGTTTATATAACACTTATCTGTGTCAGTCACTTCTTATGGCTTCATATTAACTCAGTCCTCACACCAACCCTGTACAAGGAGAGGTACCATTTTTATCTCCATCTTCTAAATGGGAAAGCTGAAGTATCTTCAGGGTTGCTCAGAGATTCAGCAACCCGTCTCAAATTGCACAGCCTACAAATGACAGAGTAGGGATTTGAACCTAGGTCTTCTGGTTTCAGGGCTTAAAGTACTAAACCCTGTACTATCCTGAAGGAAATCCTCCTCATGTGACTTCTCCTCATTGAGCAAGATAGCTGCTTGAGCTCCAACCATTATAACCTTACTCTTGTTTTCAGGGGAAAGGACAGGACAAAACAGGACTCACTCGCTCCCTTCCTTTCAGGAAACTGAAGATTTTCCTTAGAGTCTCCACAGATAGGCCTCCTTGTATTCTTTTGACCGCACCTCGTCACCTGGTCACACTTTAGCCAACAGTCTTTATTCTAGTAATTATGTGCTCAATGAAAAATCAGTACTATCATTAACGTTAAAAGGGAGCGTGGTTACTGGGAGCATCATGGCTGCATTTTACACATGAAGAAACAGGCACAGAGAGGTGAACCCCCCTGCTGGAGGTCACAGAGCCAGGAGGCAGAGATTACAT